AGTCTCTTAGGCTCACCAATGCTGATCAAATTATGCACCAAGAGCTTGTAACACTCCAAAGAGAAAGGAAAAATTGAAATCGCATCATATGACCCCTTTAAAACAATAATAATGTGAAATAATATTTTAAAATAACTGTTTCCTCTTTTAATATATTTTAAAATGTAATTTATTCCTGTGAAGACAAAGCAGAATTTTTTAGCAGCCATTACTCCAGTCTTCAGTGTCACATGATCCTTCAGAAATCATTGCTGCTTTAGAAATATTTTTTTATTATTAATAATATTGTTGGCAACCACCAACAACACCACAGCAAAACACGGCCAAAAATTATACACAGGCAGTCGCTCCCATTTTCTTCAGAAAATATAAAAATCCAGTTATTTCTAGTCAGTTGATGTAAAAATTACACACTACATCTTTAACTATTTCAAAAGAAATACACACAAATAAATCAAGGCGAAGCAATCATAGTGATTCAGGGCAGGGTTAAAGAGGGATTGAGCTTATCAGAGATATTCCAATGAGCTGAGTAACTCCATATGATTTCCTTTATAATTTTATGACTGCCTTTCATCTTCACAGCACATACATGCCTGCGGAGACACTGAACTCCCTCACACTTCCCGCACGTTCTTACACAATAATGAGCTCGAGTATTATATGTTCACGCACACCACACGCACATTCTATGAATCAAGCATGTGGCCTCTCTCAAGGAGGGGAAAAAAAGCCATACATGAACACAAAAACTGACATATGGCTTGACTTTAGCTTGACACACACTGTTACTAAAACAAGCACACTCAAGCGTGTGAATTTTGAACTTTTAGGATGTGCCTAAAAGTTAGTTAGTTAAAAGTAGGTTAGTTATTCTAACCAATAAAAAATCATTTTAAAGAAGCTCTTAGCCACTTCATTCAGAAAGAAAGAATGAGGGCTTGTAAAACTCAATCCTTTGCGAGGATTCGCTGTGCTGGAGGCAGTCAGGGACACTGGAACTAATGCGAAAGACAGGTGGCACCACACTTAAGAAAGGATACGTGAGTAACTTCACCCCTGGTCATGAACTCCTTCCTGTCAGCTGCTCTGCCCTCTCGATCCGCTCGAGTCTCGAGAACCTCCTCCGAGTCCTTCAAATCAGGAATCAAATCTCTATAACTTCTCTTTCTGACAACATAAGGTCACACCACATCCATTAAAGATGCAATCCATCACTGAAGCAACTGACAGGACACTTGCAGCACCGAGAAAGCAGGTGCCGTCACACAGAAAGAGTGCTTTTGGGTGGCCGTGGCTCGCAATGGCCAAATCTTGTTTGATTAATTAAAAGATAAGTTCAAACACAAATAGTGTTTTAAAAAAAAATCAATCATAATGATAATAAATTACAATGTCCTGCATAGGGGTGGGTGATTGGAACAAAATCTTATACCACGATATGAGAAATTTTATTTCACAATAACGATATATAGAATGATATAGTTATTTTTGCTTTAAAAAAGTATTTTATGATATCAACATTTTTGATACCATAGAAATTTAATAATTCTTGTCATCAGTGTCAATATCACAAAAAACTAATACCAGCCTATATAAAAAAAAATCTCAAGCTCACTGAAGACAAGTACGATTAAATAAGAATAAGAAACTAATTACAAGAAATAGTACCAAAAAAAACTACAGTAGAACAAATAAATAAGAAATGCAACATACATTGTATAAAGTTCTTCACTGTGTAAATTAATATACAGTTGCACGTGTTTTTGTTTCTTAGCTGTTTGCTTTCCCTTAATACCTAAATTACTGTGTTTTTACAAGTATACTTGCAAAGACGGGTATTTTGACACATACAAGTGTTTGTATTTAACCGTTCAAGGCTTATAAAGCAGCAAAAGTAACTCCATTCAATACTAACCGTCTTCATGTGCACGTGTCTTTCTGACAGCGCATGTACATAGCGAAATGAGTTCACTTTCTCTGCTGATTGCATTTCAACGGCTTAAAATCACTTGTTTTTAAACCGCACAGCAACATCACGTGAGCATAGGGCTGCACGATTATGACAAAAATCATAATTGTCGATTATTCCCTTGAAATTGTAATTGTGATTATTAATTACGATTATCACAATTGACATTGAATGATGTTTATACCATTGTTTGATGCAACTGCATGCCGTATTTTTATATGAAAATAAACAAGCTGAAAACACTCTAACTGAAAAACTTTTAGTGCTTTTCTACAGTATTAAGCCTCAAATGTCAACTATACATCAGATTGGTTTCTTTAAATTATAAAAAAGTAAATATATGAATGGTATTATAATGTTATACTAAAACTAAAATTAAAATAATGGGAAAAACCCTTAAGATAACATGTAGAAAGAAAAAAACACATCTTAAGCACGCAGAATAACATAAGTGGACTTTGAACGATTAATTGCCGCTTTGAACGATTACGTAATTGTGGCATCCATAATTGTAATCGCGATTAGAAATTCGATTAATTGTGCCGCCCTACGTGAGCATGTAACCGCGATAAAGACAATAGTCCAGCATCTCTACCGCTTGACAAATTTCTAGCGGTTAATCATGTCTACCGGTATATCGTCCACCCCTAGTCCTGCATCATAGTTGCTAATTGAAATCCAATACTTATTTCTTTATAAATTTGTTTTATTATAGAAAATAGTGAGATTTATTTTTGTTAATTTATTTATTTATTCTACAATCTCACTATTTTCCCTCACACAGTGACAAATGAGGCAAATCATCATATCTGGGGGTCCTTGGCATCAAAATGTAAAAAAAAAAAAACAATACTAATGAACTGTGCCACTTCTCCATTCAACTGCCACAAAATAGTGTGTGTATTCAGACGGATGGTGCCACACTATGCCAGCTCTGCCAACTAGCAGAGAGGACACCCACATTGGCGGAGAGAGCATTCGTCATTCCTGCCACGTAACCTGGACTGAGAAGAATCTGACATGTTGTGGACATGCCAGGCCCCCTGAGCGCTCCAAAAGGAAAGCGTAGTATTCTTGCTGATTTTTATGAATGAGTGTCGAGAGTGGCGGATGAATCACAACTTCTGTTCAGAGCTAGCCAGAAGGCAGCAGCCAGATCCACGCACATACACACAAAACGTATGCCTACATTCACTGCCTTCCTCATACAAAGCCACCAGACGAGACACACAAACACAAAATGTGTAGGGTGAAGATACGGCTGTATGAAGTGCGTGGGTACGTGTCTGTGTAGATTTAGCAGTCGACAAAAAGAGTCTCTGAACACAACCTCAACTTCCTAAAAAGAAATCCCACGATTCTCTTCTCTGCATTAAATAAAAATCACAAACCCTGGAGCTATTCAAGCATTTTTTCTGCATGTTTAATAGTCTATAAATTCGGAAGCATGACTATGTATATAAGGCAATAAATATATGGAAACTCATGAATGTATAGATGCTTGTTTTAATACTCCACAGCTGCTTCAATCACATGGCAGCAGCCATAGAAACAAATGCCTTTGTCGTTTCATTCACACAACGGCATCCATATGGTAACTGAAAATGTCCTGTAGAGTAGCACAATCGCTCAAATATATAACTGAGACTATGATTTGCATTATTGTACCTTAATAGATCATTAGATTCCTTAATAAATTATTTGATTTGATGCAATGCAAGTTACTTTGGATAAAATATAAGTAAGCATATATATAAATATCATTACATAATTCCATTTAGGTCTAGTGGTTGACCGATATTGGTTTTTTTGACAGCCGATGCTGATGCCGATATCTTAGAAAGCAGGGGGCCGACAGCCGATATAAAGCCGATATAATTTGTTTTTAGTTTTAATTAATATTTAAGAAATTTAAAATCATTTGACAATGGATTAAAAAATAAACGTGTAAAAAAAAGTATTTTTCACAAATAAATAAATATTTAATAAAAATATAATTAAAAAGGACGTAAACACTGTAACCAACAGGGCACTCAGTATTCTGGGAAGTTTGTGTGCATTGGGAATCATATTTTTCAAATAAAGCCAGGGTAAAACTCATTTTACATACAGCACACAGAGAAAATGACATGAATATGACAGTGGGCAAATGGATAAAGCGCAGCATAATTTGAAATCATGAGTTTAAAGTTTAAAGCATTCAATTCACACGGACCGACCGTCACACAGAGAACACGCGATCATGCTGGATAAAAATGCAAACTTCACAAGATCTCACAGCTGGATTCGATTAAGTTTGCAAGGTTTGTGAAATTAAATGTTCATTAGTCATTCAAAGATTTGTTTAAATGATATAAATGCGTATTTGCTTAATGCTGACGGCAAACAAGAAAGTATTATAATGTTTGCCTTTCTATTACTAATAATATAAAAGCAATTGTTATAATACTTTTTGTATACATTAATTCCTTTGTTTGAAATCTGATTATTAGACAGACTTCTATCCATATTAGACAGAGAACTGTTAACAAGAGCAAGAGGGAGAATGTGAGCACTGTGTGCTCTCAGCGCCGTCAAAATCAAAGTCCAGCCTCGAACACATCGGCCAAGCAGAAAAACTTATCGGCCGATGGCGATATTTGAAAAATGCCAAATATCGGCCAATATATCGGCCTTGGCGATATATCGGTCGACCACTATTTAGGTCTAATCAATATCTAGGTCTAGTGTTCAGTTCAGTAACCAATCACAGACCTGATAAGAAGCATTTAAATAAGCTAATTAGTAATGGCAACTTGTGTAGTGTATTCCAGCGTTTAATAAGCAGATTCCTAGGTTTCACTTATACAGAAATAAAGTGGTAAAGAAACATCACCTGACACTTAAATAACACAAAAATAACAACAGTGATTACAATATTTAGGCAAATGATCATCAGTCATAGGTTTTGTTACAGTTGTGCAGCTCTAATGCCCTCCATGGTTCACAAATCCAATAGAATCCAGTAAAACAGAGCAGGAATAGCAGTTGTGAATATACTGATTTTGTCGTCTTCAGTGTCAAGTCCAGTTCAGATCACTGTAAAAAGATCTGATCAGATTATTGAAGGGGATTTTTTTATGTCCAGAAGGAAAAACAGACAGCATGTTTGCAACAAGAGAATGACAGTACACCAATTAATTTCGTTTACTTGGTTACATATTAATAAGCAAACAAGTTTGCCTTCTCAGCAGATGGAAATGAAAGACGACCTGTTTTCTAGATTTCTTCACAAAGAGCTTTAGAAAAACATTAGACATGTAAAACCTCCCACACATGTCTGGGCAAGGCCAGTGATTACACACACAACCTACAGGGATGATACACTGGACACAACATCCTCCTGACAAAAACGGACACCACTCCTCGACACCCCCGTGTCTTGTTTTCTTGTGCTTCTCCTTTATCATCCTAAAACGCATTGACTTGGACTACTGAAGTCTATTCTAATAACACAAACACATCCTGATCTTCACATAGCATCATGTATCTGTTTCTGTCATTACAGCAGGCAAGAGAGCACAGCAAGCCATTTAAAGAGGATTTCAAAATTTCCAAACATCCAGTGACATCTGCAAAACTGTAAAAGTCTTTGCTTCAGAGCCAAACTACTCCATTGGTACATCAGCCTCATACTAAAGATTTCTAAATCGACAGACACAGGGTCCAAAATTATCTTTTTGTTACAAAAACAGGGGAGCTACCAATGGGGGAATTAAAATATAAACATTCAAGATAAACTTATGATCATACATTTTCCAGTAAAGTGAAAGTTGTGACACTTGTGACTGATATTTTCTGTATGATGTTTTCTGTATGTCTTTGATTTGAATGAGTCGCATTATATCAGTGAAGGTCAGACAGACAGACAGATACACACAGATAAGAGACTGAAAGACTGACAAAGAAAACTGTCTATTTATCAGACAGACAGACAGACAGATAGACAGATGATAGATAGATGTGTCTATTTATTAGACAGACAGACAGACAGATAGATTTCAATAGATAGATTGTAAACTGTCTGTGTCTAGGCCTATTTATCAGACAGATGATAGATAAACAAATACTGGAAGTCTAAAAGACAGACAGACAGACAGACAATCAATAGACAATAGATACAGACAGACAAGCAAATATAAATAAATATATATAGATAAACAGACAAATGCATACATAAATAGACAAATAGATAGACAAATAGACAAACAAACAGACAAAGAGATAAGATAGAAAGATAGACAAACTGAATGATAAATAGACCGATCAATGGACAGATATAGATAGGCTGACAAGACACACAGCCTCACTTATATAAGAGCTGAGTTGACCTAGATCATCTGGACTGACCAGGACTGAACGTCACAAAAACAGAAGCACTCATGACTAAACACTGAGCTCCGTTCTGAAGAGAGGGTCAGTTTAGTCGTCATTAGACGGCACTATCTGAGCTGATCTGCACTTTACACAGGAAAGCTGCAATCTGCACATTATGTGCCACAGCTGAGGAATGCGAACAATCCCAGGTATGTGAGCCATAGAGGATTCAAAAAGGTTTGATCAGACAAATCAGCTAGCCTTCGGGACAACAACAGGAGCTTGCATTGTTGTTTGGGGTTGTATAGCAGCCCTGAAGCCCAGGGGGCTCAGACCCCGATATCCAACAATCCTCTCCCCCTCCCCGTCTGGGGTATGCAAGCGTATTTTTCAGGGGAGGGAAGACATGCTTGTCTGGATCAGAGTGACCTCAGGGGCCCATTCAGATCAGACCACAGAGTAGGTGCAGTCACGAAACCCACACACACACACACACACACACACACACACACACACAAAGAGCACAAACATGCGATGTCAGCAAGGCCACAAGCGAACAAACAACTGGATGGGTCACTAGAGTAACAGGCAGGTGGGCGGTGGGGCCAGGAGTGTAAACAGTGAGAAGAGCTATCTAACGGCTAGAGCTGTTAACAGCCCGTGATAAGAGCCCCGGAAGAGAGAGAGAGAGAGGAGGAAATGGCAGTAAAACTTTTGAGAGTAGACATGTGCCGGTATTCGGTAATGCGATATATCACGATAATGAATATGCACGGTATTGTTATCGTGGTCACTTCAAAATACAGAGAATAATTATAACAAATTATTCAGAATTTTGAATGCATTTTAAAAATACTTTTCCCATCAACTGGTCACAATGCACAACATCACTGTATGCTGCGTCACAGACGCGTGTGCACTCTGATGTAAACAAGCACGGAGGAGAAGCGCATGGCGGAATGCGTGAGAGACGCTCTGAATGAAAACACATTCACTTTCTGATATATCACGGTAATGAATATGCACGATATTGTTATCGTGGGCACTTCTAAATACCGTGAATAATTATATATTACAAATTATTACGAATTTTGAATGCATTTTAAAAATACTTTTCCCATCAACTGGTCACAATGCACAACATCACTGTATGCTGCGTCACAGACGCGTGTGCACTCTGATGTAAACAAGCACGGAGGAGAAGCGCATGGCGGAATGCGTGAGAGACGCTCTGAATGAAAACACATTCACTTTCTGACAGTAGATGGCGCTAAACATAATGCAGCGGTTACCCCGGAAACCACGTAAACAAAACAGCTTTCTGTTTCTGAAAGGTGTTAAAAATGATTTAAACAGCCATTCAGATTTGTGTATTTGCTATGGTGTTCATCACAGTGCCAAATACAGTACCTTAATATTTAGACTTAATAGGCTTTCAAACTTTTTTACATTTTAATCTGGACTACAACATGCCCTAGATATTGTTTGAAGTGATAGTGTTTTGATTCTTTATTGTTCGGTCAAACTTTACATTAGGGCTTCATTAATTAACATTAGTTAATTCATTAGTTAACAAACTGCCAAAGAAAGATTCTTCTAAACATTTGTTAATCTTAGGTAATTCCAATATTTAATAACACATTGTTAAAAATAAAAGTTGCAACTGTGTTATTTAATGAGCTAACATGAACTAAGAGTTCTGTTTTTTTTTACAAAGATTAATAACTTCTGTAGCAAATGTAGCTATTGCTCATTATGAATGTTAATGCATTAACTAAGATTAACTAAAGAGATCTTATTGTAAAGTGATACCTATTGGTCTTTATAATTCTTTTGCACTTTAATCTGTGTAAAATTGTAACTTTATACATTTTTTTGTGTATTGCTTTATTGTATTTAAATTTTCAGTTATTTTTGTTATATAAGAAAAATGTTATTAAACCTGTTATACTGTATCATGACAGCACTTTTTTGCAGCTACATTTTAATACTGTGATAATACCGTATACGTGATAAAAGCATTATCAATTAATCGCAACATGAAAATTTGATACCGGCATATCCCTAGGTGAGAGAGGCCGTAAAGAAAAAAAAAAAACAACAGACAAAGTAAGTTGGAAGGGAGGAGAGGTTGGCGGGCAGGAGGGAGGAAATTAAGGAGGGCTGACGGTTCACTCCCCCTCACTGAGGAGTCTTGTTTTTGTGCTTGTACACTTGACATTTCTGTGACATTTCTCCTCAACACTTTGCCTCACATGGACCTAGGAACGTCCATTGGATGCCTCTTCCCTACAGTTCCCCCCTCCTATTCCCGCCATCAACCAACCTGGCATTGCAAAACTTTTCCGAAGACAAAGAACAGACACACACTCACAGACACACACAGACTTACACTACAAACATAGCACTAATCATACCTACAGTCACCACCAGGGGCTCTGTTTAGACTTTACAACAACATTGTCATTTTGGTGTCAGCATTATAGTAAAACGAGTTTCTACAAATTATTTAAATAAAAAAAATAAAACATTAAAGTCAATAAACATTAAAAAAATTTGATAATGGATAGGCAATCAGAATAAATGATTTACATACCAATCGATAAACTTTTTTAAATTCAGTTGATGTAAAAAGATACTTGTTTGATCTTCAGCTGACCAATCAGCAGAAAGGGGTGTTTAAATCGAATATTGAAGATGTTTATTCATTTTTCTACCCCTGAACGTAAAATGAAACTGAATTCTTGTTTTTCGTTTTTTTGGGAAAAATAAATGAAAAAAAAATTAAAAGGAGACATTTTTCTACTTTCAATATTAAATTAAAAAAAAACTGAATGAATGATACACGGATTCAACAGCTTTGGTTACATACAATAATAAACAATAATGGTCATAATAACAGTTTATATGCCATATAGCTTAAATAAATTTTGTAAGATTTCCAATTAAAAGTTCTTTCAGACAACTGAATTGCTTTATGTATTCAAAGGCCAGATTGAATTGTTCACGACATTAGAAATGAACTCAACAACTTTTCACATCCACTTTGAATAAGTTTTTTTCCTGAATGAAATCAAAATCCATTTCCTTATTACCAGAGCTAGATTATCCAAGTCATAAGCAGGTTAGCAAACATACATATCCAGTCAGCGTGAAGACAAACACTGCAAATGGAAATTGCATTACAAATGGAAATTCCATAGACTCCAGATACACACATACACAGAGGTGACAGTAACAAGCGCATGCAAGAACAGGCAAGGAATGCTTTAATGGTCTTACATTTCAGAAAAAAGCAAACAATAGTGCTGCTGTGGACACCCTCATCTCATAACAAACACGCAAAGTCTCGCGCACATACGCAAGAGTTGATCGCTGATTGGTCGCTGACAGCAACCCTTGGTGCAGTAATTAGAGAGAGAGGACTGATCCAAATTGACTACAAAACCACTGCGTGCCCTTGAAGAAACATCTGTGCACAACAAAAACAAGGCAATTATGCCGAAGGGTGGAGAAGACTGTCCTCTACAGAGAGCCAGACGGGCTGCAACGAGTGACACAGAGAGGCTACGCCACCATCAAGTCACACAAAATTCTCTGTGATTTGTGAATCGTTCTGACTAAATCATTAGAAAGTACTGGTTCAAAGCAAAAAAATATGCTCACAGGTCAGGCATCACTTGCCTTCATCACCCACAATTCATTCTTATTCTCCTCCACTGTAGAATTAGTTTCTACAAGAATGGCCTCAACTTTTTTGAAAACCTTCAAGCTCCAAGTCAACATGAATCGGTCTTCACAACCCACTTTTATTCAGTAATGTGAACCATTTCAGTGTAAAAGGATTTGCATTGGGGGAAAAAAAGTAAGGCAGGACTTTGGCAGGATTTGATTGTGAAAAGTGGTTTCTATATGTAAGGTGGTTGAAAAATAAGTTAGCATAAATGAGGGCTTGTTGACATCCGCCAAAATGAATTAATTCATTCATTCATTACATTTACATAGCGCTTTTCTAAGCACTCAAAGCGCTTTAAATTGTGAGGGGGGGATCTCCTTATCCACCACCAGTGTGCAGCATCCACCTAAAGTTGAAGTTTCAGAATGGATCAAGTGATTACGCTGTTAAAAAGTTAATGAATATGAAGTTCATTCAAATGAATCATTCACTGTAAAACCCAAAACACAAAGAAAGTAAACAGGGTCCATTTTGAGTTCATGTTGACTTTAAGTGTGTTTGAAACCAGCTTTGCGTCATTCTCAACACGACAAAACAACTCAGTGGAGGAAGTTTATACAGTACGCCCCTAAGTTCCCTCGTCTATCCTTGTCATTACCTCTCATGAGGTTTAATCTTTTTCACCATTCAACATTTGCGCCTCAAGAACAAGGCAAGCTGGCGACAGTAAGAAAATGCTGGGGTTTTGTAGACAAATAGTTGATTCCTTTGAAGCTCCATGTGGAAACATTGACGGGAAGTGTACACAATAGGACAGGTGGCAGCCCACTGCTTGTTCCAGTAAATTCTTTGGAGAACACAGATCAATCAGTTGGACCATTAGTACATCCTTTCTGCTGCGACTACCAGTCATCCTCTTTGTTCGGCTGTTTGAGCCTTGGATACAGGTGACTCACACCTCCCCACCTCTGCATAGGCAAAAACACGGCATTCAGACACAAGATTACCATACTGAACAGGTGTGCAGAGGAGCAAGTGCTGACACGATGTGGGCGGGACTGTCGGGAAGAGACTGTATCAGCAGCGCAAAGGAGAGTCACTGGAAAAAAAGGACACTCACGATGAGTCGCCCACTGCTGTGGATCAAATATCCCAGTAGGGTAGCAGCACGTCACCTCTGTGTCCTTCTCCTGATTGTCAGATTCAAAGAATTCCACCAGCAACAAACAAACAGTCCGGCTATAACAGAGCACGTTTCTGAGGAGGGTTGATTTCCTCTGTTTGTTTTCAGGCGGAGGGAAAGGGGAGGGAGGGCAGCTCTGCGACGGCTTCTCTGAGCCTGGGACTTGCACGGTCTGCAGGTCTCTTGAAGGCCAGGGGTGGGACTGTGGGAGAGCGCTGTAGTGTTCTCATCCATTATGCTTTTCCCACCATTCTTGTGTGCTTGGGAGAGGAAGAGGGAGCAAACATTCATAACGGGGTAGTTCACTTTCCCAGGCATTCCCGGCCAGATGTAGGGGACACACTGGCATTCATATCTTCTGACCTCATGACTACAGAGATAAGAAATCATAGAAGATATTTTGGCCCCAGCCAGGTGGTTTTCTCACATTCTATTGACCCTATCCACAAGAAAGGGCCATTTAGGGCATCAAAGCACTATTGTAATATCTAACCAAACTGACATCCTCAAATTAACCCCAAATTATCAAAGAATGTCTGCAAAATGTATAAACTCAAAAATATTAAAAAGGGAAAAAAAAAAACAGAAAAAAAATCACTCAAAAATAAGGTGTGTAGGAACCACATCATTCATACATACATATATATATATAAACACACACACACACATATATATACCAACCAATATGGATTTGCAACAGTCAATATAAATAAACAAATTTGGTGGGACAAAAATAAAACTTATTTTACCCCAAATTTACTAAAACGTCATAAAAAAACATTGAAAACAGAAATTATTTACTATCTACTGATCAAAATTGCCAAATAATCACCCTGGCTAATATATACCACTGCTGCACAATAAGCCATAGAAGAGCCTCAAACCTATGGCCAAATTATATCAATCCATCACTAGTATAAATCCAAAAGTACAAAAATGCATGAATCAGCCAAATTCAACAGCAGTCAAACAGAAAATGATGAGATTCAAGAGTGCAGTTACATATAATTTAGGGTTCAAAAAGAACATTTTATGGATGGATTTATCGTAGAGCTCCTTCCAGAACGTCACCTTAGGTCACAGAAATCTTTGTTTTGTCTTCAGGACCCTCCATCTTCAGCTACTGTCAATGTCTTTGATGAATTGGTGGACAGTCTAGTCATAACTCTCTCAACACAACATAGATTACACTAACCAAATATTTACCTGACAAGACTCTGCCAAAGAGAAAGACCTCCAGTTCCCAAGCAAAGCAAACAGTATCCCTCCATCGGTTTAGCTAAACTTAGCTTTATCTTATGCAATCTAAGCCTCATTCAGTTTCACCATTCACGTCACTATTCATTCAAATCCCATGTGAAGGAACGAACAGTATGCTAAATGCCAGCAGATATGAATCCATCAGAAATAAAAGCTGAAATAAATCAAACATTAGCGAGATCAAGTATGGTTGGCAGGTTCTTACCTTTCTGGCAGTTGTTTGAGGTCCAGCAGCGGTAGCTGTAGTTGTCATTGAAGCTGGTCCTAATGCACTGCGGGCTATCCTCCATGATACCTGGACAAACATCACCACATTCCTTGGACTGCTTGTTCCCAGCGATGTAGTTGTTAAACTCTGCATCCATAATGAGTGACCAGTCCACTGCGTCCAAGTAGCACAGCTCCGGGTTCTTTTCGATTCTGATCGCACCTCTGGTGATGTTCCTCAGGTTGTAGAGGCCGATATCTTTCAGGCTGGTCATTTCGAAGATGACCAGGGCGTAGTTGTAGAACAGGTTGCGTCCTCGGATGACACTGAGGTTGGGGAAGAGCACGCTGAGGCTATCCAGGCCAGAGACTCGAAACAGGAGAAGGTAGTCGGTGACCATGGTCAACTTGGGGAAGGACAGGGTGCGAAAGTGCTCCTGGTTGAGGTTGTTGTTCTTGTCTCCAATGAGGAGGATCTGAAGGTAGCCTTCCACCACCGTGCAGTTCTCCAGCTTCTTGAACTCACTGATGTCATTGCGGATATCAATGTGGGGACCACAGACTGGAAAGGAAAAGACAGAAAAGTACACTTAGACTAATATGATCAAAACATAACTTTTAAAGGGTTCTTTAATAATGTTTATTACATTTTAGAAATTAATATCAGAGCATAATCAAATCGTCCTTTCAACAAAGCACACCTCTAGGGTCAAGCTTAATTAAGGTGGTCAGACACCTATAAAAAACTGATTGACCTGAAGTGAGTCAAATATATCCATTGTCATTTGTAATGAGCAAGGGACAGTACAGCAGAAATATAATCTCTGAGGATGCTCTTAATTTACAACTGCTTAGAAAAGGATCTGCTGAGTTAAACCTCAGACACTGTAGCACTCCTAGAATTAAGACAGACTGTGTTGCCACTTCATGTTAATGATGCTGCTGGTTATTTTTCCTTGTTTAAAGTCAACATGACATCCAAACTGACTCTTTTTACTTTCTTTTAAATAACTGTAAAGTTTCATAAAGTTTAATCAACACAAAATAACCTGCTCTCCCTGTTTAACATGAAACAACTGTCCTTTTCATCTGATGTCACTTAGGCCACACAGCCTATTGGTTATTATCAGCCAATAGCCAAATAGCTATTTAAGCTGTTTTTTGTTGTTGTTGTTGTAAACTATCATTCGATTTAGCTACATTCTGTCAAATTGTTCTCATGCATTTTTTCATATACACACAGGCCATGTTTGATTAATTAATAATATAAATAATCAAAGGAACAACTACAAGGAAAAACTACAGATATATTGGATTTAAAGTTGTGATGAAACAGATCAAAAAATAAAAATATAGGACAGGAACTTGGTTCTAATAATCAGTTCTTATCAGGATTTTGAGACGTGGGCACTGCATTTAAAAATTAATGCAAGCTTGCAAATCGCTTGAGGACGGACGGGGTTGAGGCAAACCAAATCGATGGAAAAGTCCAGGATGTGTCACCACCAAGTTTGGCGTTTTTCCAGAAGATAAACATTTTGATCAAAATTTTGTTTAAAAATGAAACATACATGGATGCATCATTCAAAATAAGATTAACAACATGCATTTAGAAAACAGGGTGGCTTTTCCTATATGCCAACCAATATAATCCACATTTGCATGAGTGCAATAAATTATGAAATTATGAAACACGATAAAGACTTATATTAAGTAAACTCCCAAAAAGATAATGCAGGTAAACAGTAGCATGAATCGAACACATGGGACATTATCAAACGTCAAGAAGGTTTACATTCTCACTACAGTGAGAAGAGTAATTCACACCATAATAACAAAAACTGCACTGTGACCCCCACCTCCCCAGGAAAGGGCTTAGTCCCGGAAGGGGAAAGAGATCAGCAGAAGAATAGTCTTGACATATGAGCTCCTTTGGCTAAAGCTTTTATGTTCTTAGAGAGGCTTAGGTCACCTTCTCTGATAGAGACAATATCGCAGGGCCTCTATGAGACAAATGGAAAAGCTTCTCCCTGCCACGTGAAAAAAACAACACGTCCACGGCTGCCCGAACACATGGTCCCACACAGAAACAACCTTATCAATCTCTCTTTACAACCACACTCTAAATAGCCCTCTGCGAGGCGCAGAAGACAGTGAACTTTTGAGTAATGGGGGAAGGTCAAAATTTCAACAATCTCAGATTGCCTACTGTGCATTATTCTGACAGGAGTGGAAACCGCTTTTCCTGACACGAATTTCCTGCGAAAAATGACACGCTTCATGAATCTAAATACCATTTGAGGTTACTCCATAACCGGTGTGCCAGAAATAGCAAGCTCGTTGTTTAAAAAAGATCTTTATTTGCTCCTGACAGTGTATTACGCTCATCCAAAATTAGAACGGAAATCATTGCTCCACGAGAAAATAGTATTTGCTTTCCTGTATCATCGCAAATGCCCCAGGGCTGCACTTGGGAGTCATGGAGCTGCATGTCTCCTTTGTTTCATTGCGGCATTTTGTTTTCTCCTCCACAACCCGGGAGAGGGAGGAGAGCCGAAGTGACTCACACACAAAGACAAATTTGTTTGTTGGTAAAGAGAAACTTTAGTCCTCAGTTCCGGTTGGTTCCATTAATAAATTCAGACGGTCTGGCAAGACACAAAGAGGAAGGAGAGACAGAGTGGGAAATAGACGGTGATATGGTGTCAGTTAAACCAAAGTAGGCCAAACTGAAGTATAAAAAACACTTGACAAGAGGTTATGCATTCGTTTGCACCGAAAACACACACCGGAAAAAACTTTTTGCCTCACAAACCGAATAAGAAATATGTGCAACGTGCTTAAATGAGTCTCACATCTCCTAAAACTGGCACAAAAGAAGCGTGAAGCCAACTGAAACAAACGTGCCCACCAGTTGACCTCCACACTGAATCCTCCAGGATGATCCGAGGCCAAAGAGCTCAACCAGTTCCTATTCCCGTCACAAAGATCCGGCTCTTCCGTAAACACAGGCAGTCAGAGAAGCATTTGAACCATAGACTGTATAAAAACATGGACGTAGTGTCCGTGACGTCACCCGTAGGTTTCTGAAGAAAGAAGCTCAAAGTGGGCGGAGCGGGCCGTCGCCATCTTGGCAGCGCGTCACTGCACGTCACTCCCGGATAATCGAAAATGGGCAAAGAGGCGGGAGCTGGTTGCTGAAACCACACCCACCTAGCTCGACAGCGGTGACAGCAGCGGCAATCCATCTCTCACTCAAGTGGCCACGCCCTTAATTATGCAGAACTTTAAGGTTTAATATCATTTAAACGGATGAGTTATAAAAAAAATTTACCCCCCTCACAGTTGTCACGAAGGGCAAAATTAACTATATAGACCAAAACCACTTTTTGTACCAGGCTGTAAACACATTTTTTTCTGCTGTAAATGGGCATTTTAACATGGGAAGTCTATGGGACTGACTCACTTTTGGAGCCAGCCTCTAGCGGCCAGTTGATGAATTGCAGTTTTAGTCACTTCCGTGCTGGTTTCACAAGAGAGGCCGGAAGGTTGCCGCTTGATCTGAACCCTTCTCCACCCTGTCAGGCTGGTGTTGCTTTCAGCAGGTCAGATTAAACGATCCAGTGCAACCGGGCTGGACAGTTTCCTTCTAAATGCAGGACTACATATTTTCAAAGATTACCCTGCAGAAATATTGACTTCTTGCTCAATTTTGGAAAAATTCTGCTTGCATAAACTTTGAAATCTCTCTCGCTTATGGTTTTATTTATAACGTTTGTTCTTCTGCTTTGCAGAGGAAATAAAATAATTGGACATTATTAGAGGAAGATAAGTTCTAGTATAAAAAGTTTCAATAGATGGTAAATAAGATGAATAAGTAAAAAACTCATTGTGAGTGGAATAGAATGGCTATCGACTAGAAAACGACTGCTGCTTGGCAATAAACCTTCCATGTTTATTCAGGCAAAATTTTGGTATTATACTGAAAACTCTATACAGTTAGGTAAAATACATGATGCAGCACAATCACAGTCAAAAAGAACATTTTAATTATAAGTGCTTATTTTAAGGTTGATATATACAGTAGTTAAATTGCATTTTAAAATAGAAAACAACTATTTTGAATTGTAAAAATATTTTAAAATATTACAGTTTTTACTGATCAATCAAATGCAGCCTTGGTGAACACAAGAGACTTCTTTTAAAAACATGCTGATTATTATTATTTATTATAAAATAATAGTAGTAGTAACTATTATTATTATTAAATATTGTTTTTATTTAAAAAACAATGCACAAATAAGTCTATTGGTTATCACACTTCAGCATTATTAATGGTCAGAAAAAATAGTATCAGTCACCCTCTAATAGAAAATTGTTCCTTACCACTCAAACAAACCATAACAAATTGAGTTGAGAATGTGTGTAGTCAAAAACACAAGTGAACCCCACTCACTGGCCACAAGATATATGAGTGAGGACATATGTGGCTTATTCTGTTCAAATCATAACCTCTAGGGTGCAGATTAAATGACAATTACAATCATTATGACCCACTTGCATCACACTGGCCAAAACTAATATTGTGTCAGTCATCTGAAATGAAATCTCAGAAGCTCTACACTGGGAATTATGTAAATGCGTGTTTGAAACAGCCACAAAAGCTTATTCCACTTTTTAAGAGAAAGAAACATAATACAAAGGAAAGCTCTCACATCCTTCCACCAGCACCTCAGCAGTGAGCAGCAGTGTTAAGGTCCTCAAATCATTTTCCCAAAGAGGATTGTGCTCAGCTCTGCGTTCAGCTATAATCATCAGAAATCAGTCCATTTTATCTGGCCCCAAGAAGTTATGTGCTCAGCTCTCGTTCATGTCACCTGAACTTGTTGTTGTCTTACCAAAATGCAAAATTCAGCTGCAAAACAAAAAAGCCTACAGTGGTTGTCTTTCACCATGAGCAAACAGTAACCCAGGAGAGTCCTTCATTCACTGTGGTTTTCACACCATGGTACAAACAGACTGGCCTGAAATCCAACTCCTGCTGTTTACATTTGATAACCTTTTGCTGGCCATCCACAGGAATCCCTGTACCTCTGGGAGAGATGAGGGAAAAACAAGACTTCCATACTGTCCTTCTTAAGATCCAGTCTGTATAGCCTATTGGCTTCACCAAACATTTGTCCATCCTTCAGATCTTATTTCCAAATGAAAAAAATACACAGCTATTTATTTGAAACCAGAAGCCCCACACTACAGTATGTCTTAATTGCAGCTGTTAAAGTGACCGAAAGAAAATGATGACCCTTGTGGGACCAATTTATACCTTCAAGAGATTATCAGAGGTTACTGAAACCACTCTGAGTAATCGTTCTCGGAAAACAACACAAGTTTAGCAGTTTTCCCGCACTTCAACTGTTATCTGGTGGAGCGTTGTTGGGCGACATTAAATTCTTCCTGGTTTTGATGCTCAGTTACTCACAATATAAGGAGCCAAATCCACTTGAAAGCGAGCATCTCTATGCAGAGCATTTGATGTGAGAACTCTTAAGGATGCAAGGCAGT